ATTTGGGGCTTGGGACGAACAGTTATAAACCTGCGAGAAACCAATGAAAACAATCATAATTAAGTAAATTTATATTCTAACATATTTATTCGATATATTATGAATAGTTGATTTCTGCAGGTGTATAAGCAATAAATATAAAAGTCGAGGTATTTCTTCTTGCCACATTTCCTTTATAAAGGAGATTTGGCAAGAAGAAATATCTCGACTCATATTTTATTTATATACATTGTTTTAAAACGGCCAATTGGCTTGATATACATCCTGCACACCCTTCACCAACAGCTTTGCTCCCTTCATGATGCAAGGCTTCTTTCCACATCGAATTTTTGTCGTCTGCTTTTAACAGGGGAGGTTACTCAAGACACTCAGTGGCTCTAAGTAATTAAATAAAGGAGTTGTTAGACGCTGTGAAGTGACTGATGTAATATGGAAAAATATTAACCCTTTAAAAATATAATCAGGTTTTGGAATGTCCTGAAGAAATTATTTAGAACACTTAAATTGTTTATCGGGCAACTCGTCACAGTGCGGGAGTATATCCTGTAGAAGAATCTAGGACAGAGCGGGTGGGGCGGGTCGCGATTGTGACATGGGCAGATAGGACATATAAACAGTTTACTTAGTATCAGGAATACTATAGATACATACTCCCAATAAAAATGCGGGGACTGTTAAAACGATAGTGACGGTGTAATGACGATACATGTCTGTACAAATATTCTAGGCACATAAAGAAACTGTGCGTACAAAAAAATTTAAATCTAAATTTATCAAACCTGTGTAGACACATAAGGATTTAAACTCAGAGATTAGTGACATGTATCCAACATGTATGCACGTGCCACGTTCCGTGACGTCAGTGGGTTCGTCCTTGAGACGTGCAATACGTTGTTGCACGTGCATTCCGGGATAGAGAAACAGAGCAAATGAATGCCACACAATACTGTCACTTTGGAAAGCTCAACCCCTGCGCTTGTGATCGTTCAAAAAATTGAACGGCTATTGAAACGCATAGCGTGCCAAGGCTCACGTCTGCACAACGTCATGAGGCCATTGGGATGGTCCGTGGGGGGAATGTCTCAACGACAAGTGGTTGCACATTTCCACTGCCACCGGAACACCATTTCTGCAGTGGTGGAACACAAATGACGTCATCGATCGGCCATATTCTGGACGTCCACTTGTAACAACGCCAAGACAGGACATATGGATAAGGGTGACCCATCTTCGCCACAGGTTTCAGACTGCAGTGATGACTGCCCGAACCATCCCAGGACTTCGCCGTATCCACCCCAACACAGTTCGACAACGTTTACGTCATCACGGGATCAGACCACGACGTCCCGCCATACGGCCTATCCTGACACAACGTCATCGACAAGCTCGTCGAATGTGGTGCCGAAATCATGTCCACAGACCCTTGATTTGGTGGAGAAATGTTGTTTTTACAGATGAGTCCAGGTTTAACATTTCCCATAGTGATGGACGTCAACGTGCCTATAGACGCTTGGGAGAACGTTATGCACAGGCCTGTGTCTTGGAGAGGAATCGCTTTGGTGGTGGTTCCGTGATGATTTGGGGTGGAATAACAGCACGCCAAAGAACTCCTTTGGTGATTGTTCAGGGCAACTTAACTGGTGCTGGCTACAGGGATCAGATTCTTCGACCTGTGGCAATTCCTTTTCTGCAACGTCATGGCCCTGGGTTAACATTCCAACAGGACAATGCCCGCCCTCATACGGCAAGGGTTGCACCACAACGTTGACTTACTGCCTTGGCCTGCAAATTCACCGGATCTCTCTCCGATAGAACATGTTTGGGACGAGATGGATCGACGTCTACGCCGTCTTCCTCATCCGCCAGATAACGTCCTTGACCTTGCAACATAACTTGAGAGAATCTGGCGTGACATCCCACAAGCCTTCCTTGCACGTTTGATAGGCTTTATGCGTCGTCGATGCACTGCTGTTCTCAATGCCGATGGTGGACATACCCGTTATTGAGCTTGTGACATGGTCGTTTGACCCCTGTCCCGCTTGTGGACTCGTGACGTCATTGTGATTGACTTTTCAATTGAAATTCTCCCGACTTGTTATGGTCTCATGATCCCTCCTTTAAGGTTTATATGTACCTTTGACATTGTTATCGTACTTATCAACTGGGATAATATTTTGACAATGCACAGTTTCTTTATGTGGCTAGTATATTTTAGGGCGTGTTGATAAATCTAGTGTGTCCACCATGTTGGGCGATAAATGCACGACAGCTTGTTGATTAACTGGCGTATAGTTGCCTGTGGTATTGGCCAATATTCTTAGCTGACCACAGCTGGGCCACGTTGGTGGGTCTCTGCTGCACACGGTGTCAGCCCGATCTGTCGACAAATGAAAAATAGGATGTTGCTAACCGTCGACAAAACTCAAAACCCGGAGTGTCGACATCGCGTGGTCAACATACCGTGACCGTGTTAATTAATGAAAGAGAATGTTTGCCTAGTGGTTTGCAAGTGGCTATGGCGGCTACAGCTATGCTCGTATCATGAGTAAATGAATTAAGTTGATTAAAGAGAATGTCTTTTAACAATTTGCAAGAGAATTAAGGTTGAAAAAACAGACTATTATTTTACGTTATGCGAGTGGAAGGATTACCATTTTGGAGTTTAACATGCAACAACATCCGGAAAGAAACAGAGAGCTTACAAATTATTTTGTGATATTAGGAGTAGAAGGAGCTGGAATTTTGCTAAGTGTGAAACAACTAACAAACAAACTACGATGTATCCGGCATCATTCCCCCAGACAATGTCCATACAACATTGTAAAGTTCACTTACCAGACTATTGACATCAGAAGATGTCATAGCTTCAGCAGCTTCACACTGAACACCTTGAACATCCACTAGAGGCATAAGAAGCCTTTAGCAGTAGAAGTACGTGTATTTGTAAACAGGCAGAAAGAGCATAGGCGAATGAGGGAGACACCCTGCACACCGTGCACACTATTGAGAAAAGGAGGGGTGCACACTTCATTTAAACCCGAGTTTCAATGGTCATTTAACAAACTTTCAACACAAAACACACACCCCTGCAAACACACACACACCCCTGGATCCGCCTATGGGCAGAATGGATCGTCAATATTTCGTGTATGTGTTATCTCGGAGTGGCAATATCATTATATCGATAGGGGTGGAGATCAGGGAACAGACCCCCAAGGCCGACCCACAGCCGAATTGGAAAGTAGGTCAACACGGTATCCATCCACCTAGCCGATGTCCTTACGCTTCATATTGACTACTCCATATTACCATTCGAGTTGCTTCACTAACAAAGTGTCCCACAAGGTGTCCATGATATAGCTGGCATATTGCAGTCCATTGTGTTCATGGACAAATATACTAACAAACTATTTATGAATGTGAAAAAAATGTATCAGCTAAGTGATCGAATAATCAGTACTGCTATGACCAGAGTAGCCTGTTAAAAGTCTTCCTGTAGTTTACGCTAAAAGTGACTGCATCTGATCTCCTGTGTAAAAGTAGTTTGTTTACAATGGGAAATGTGCAAGAATCGCTTCTGTAATGTTGGTGTCCTTAATCTGTGACAAAGAAAAGCAGTAAGGTCGAACAATCCCCTTCGCTATAGCACCCAGGGAATGAATGTGAACATTTCAGTCACAAACTATGGTTATAACTTGATTGACTAATGCTTGGTCCTAGCATAATATAACGAGGCCCAAAAGTGTAGCTCTTGAAGAAATGACACATTCTCGCCGCTGTATATCCTAATGACTCAACCCTTTTTCAAAGCGAGATTGTGCAAACGTGAGATATTAGAGATATTGAGCGGTTGGAAATCTGTTTCGTTATGACTATGACTCACCGAAACTTCAGTGTTATTTCACATTTTTTCCAAATGTTAAACATACACAGACATTTTTGTCCCCATCTTTATCCTCCCTCATCCGATCAGCAGCCATTTTAAAGAATATCATCACATAATTAAGTTATGTACTTGAGAAGAGACGACTACTGGAATATGACGTCATGGTGAGTCATTTTCATTTGATCATGTTTGTTTGCTGGTATATTTAAAGCAAAATGACCTACAAATGTAGCATGACGTTTTATACTGGGTATTATCAGCTGTACAATAAAGATGTTGAACTGTTTGTATTTTGTTTCTTTACCTTTGGTTTGTCTGTTGTTTTACGCCGCACTCAGCAATATTCCAGCTATATGGCGGCGGTCTGGGTCTCTACCGGACAATATTGTGATCAACAGCATGAGCGTCGAGTGTTGTATTTAATAGAAAAATATTGGCATTTAATTTTCATGTTTTCATGCCTCTTCACGTACAATCCGCCGTAAGAGATACGAGGTACAGCATGCCACAGGGTTATAGGTCACTCGATTTATGTTGGTAAATGTTCTCTCTTTCTGCACAACCGGGTGATTAAGGTGGTAGTGACATTGATCAGGCGAACAATTTCCCAAATCATCGTGACTGTCAACTCGGAGATACTTTCTGAGTAACTTCAACACATTTCAACTAAATATCAATGTAACCTCCACTGATATGAAACATATAGACTTGTCTGTTCAGGTAAATGGCGGCGGTCTGTAAAATCTCGAGTCTGGACCAGACAATCCAATGATCAACAGCATGAGCAGCGGTCTACGCAATTGGGATATAATGACATGTGTCAATCAAGTCAGTGAGCCTGACCATCCGATCCCATTGGTCGCCTCTTACGACATGCATGTGTTGTTGCAGATCAATTCTTACCGGATCTTCACGAGTTATAGTATGTAAGTATACAGACATGAAATCAGCATCCTCAAGAACTTGACTTTTTCTGCTGGTTCGCAGTTCGGAGTTCAATCCCATGGAAAACCCGATAACACCTTTATGTTGAATAAGCTAGTAAAGCGGGTGCCTTGCTCAGTTTGCAACAATAACTGTAATACACTTTGACACAAATGAGTGAGAGAAAGGATTTGGGGACTTCTGAATTTTAATACCATTCACATGTTCAACAGTATTTACATGTTAGTGGATGTACACATTATCCTGTAAAGGTATATTACTAGATAATCGTTTGGATCTTGTGATCCTAGGTGACAGCTCTCCTGACATCACACGTGACCCCAGTATTTCTGATCACGTGGTCATACGCGGTGGTGTCAACTAACATCAGAAAGCGTACAGAAGACACACCTGTAAGTCTTTTAAGTTGATGAAACCTTCATAATAGGTAGCCTATTGCTTAGTGTGTGTGACACCGCAGTTACCAATATTCCAGTGATACCCGAAGTCTGGAATATGTGGCAAGTCTAGATTACTTCCGTTTCAGTTTCTGAAAATGATAAAAGTCTCTTGGCCCCTTTTGAATATAGTTTATGTATATAATTTAGGAACTGTTTTTTTTTCTGTAAAGTATATTCGTTTCAGAGACCAGGCGTTCGTCAACCGAACGGCCTGAAGACAGTCTGAAGAACCACACAATGTCGGACCTCAAATGATCCACGCCGCCAAGCATAACCAAGAATGGTATATGCTGATCTAGCGAAGAGAGATTTAGGAAGACAACCTGAAATAATCTGATTGAGATTAAATAAAATCATCCTTCAAGGCACCTACAAAGCTCTTGACTTCAGCCGAGCGCTGAGAATGGAATGAGTTGTTAAATATTATGCGCTGGGATCTGTAAAAAGAAACTAGATGTAGGAGTGCTTATGTTTCAACTAGCGCCCTCTGTAGGCGCTGAGCCAGTCGTCCACTAATTGTGTATTGTATTTGCCCGGCCCTCTTCCTCCAGCTAACACAACCACACCATCTTGGATAATGTACAGCCGCTCTGGGAGGGAAACATACTTCCTGCAAGCATCATCTGTTAAGTCATCCAGAATTGGGGGCATCTTAAATTCTCGTCACTTAGCACCATGGCCGCCTCTAATCTGTCGTCCATACTTTGGGCAGTTCCTATTTGATACTTTGGTACACTCTATCCTGTAAAGGTACAGTACTAGATAATCCTTTACACCTTGTGATCCTAGGTGACAGCCCTCCTGACATCACACGTGACCCCAGTATTTCCGGTCACGTGGTCATACGCGGTGCTGTCAACTAACATCAGAAAGCGTACAGAAGCACAGCTATGAGCTTTTGAAGTTCATGAAGCCTGCATAATAGGTATTGTTTAAACTGCAGTCTTATTGCTGAGTGTATGACACCGCAGTTACCAATATTCCAAAGATATCCGAGCGGCTAGTCTGTCATACAGACTCTGAAACAAATCTACCAATGCAAGTCTAGAATATGTGGCAAGTCTAGATTACTTCAGTTTCAGTTTTCTATTCATATTATTTTATGTATATAATTTAGGAACTGTATTTTCTGTAAAATATGTTCGGTTCAGAGTCCAGACGTTCGATTACCGAGCGGCCTGTAGGCAGTCTGAAGAACCACACTATGTCGGACCTCCAATGATCCACGCCGCCAAGCATAATCAACAATGGTATAGACGATATATGCTGTCTATATATGTAGGACTGCGCATGTTTCAACTAGCGCCCTCTGTAGGCGCTGAGCCAGTCGTCCACTATTTGTGTACTGTATTTGCCCGGCCCTCTTCCTCCAGCTAACACAATCACGCCATCTTGGATAATGTACAGCCGCTCTGGGAGGGAAAGGTACTTCTTGCAAGCATTATCTGTTAAGTCATCCAGAATTAGGGGGCATCTTAAATCCTCGTCACTTAGCATCTCGGCCGCCTCTACTCGGTCGTCCATACTTTGAGGGGTTCCAATTTGGTACTTATTATTATTCAAATTCCATCCGTCGGTTGGGTGGGCTTCCTGTATGTAAATAAGAAGAAAGTCAGCGATATGTCCATACTTTTGAACAATGTCGTTGAACTTGGCCAGTTTGGCCATAAAGGGAGGTCAGCTACAGCTTCCAAAGTTGAGAACCAGAGGGCGCCCCTTCTTCATGAAGTCCAGCAGACGATGTTTGGTTTTGCCGTCTGCTGACCAGACAACTGCGTCGGGGGCTCTACACTTCTCTTCAGGATGGGAGCCTGCATCCAGTAACCATTCTTCTAGAATCAGTTTCCAGTTTTTCACCTTGAGGATCGACTCGTACACGTCGGTTCCATTCACCGAGGTATCGGCTAGGCCATTGTCTAGAAAATTAATAAACAGTCGTTTGACCGGAGGAAATATTCTTCCGATGTTAGCGAGAGTGACTATCGTCACAAACCTCAACAGTACAGCCACGGTCCCCCAAATGGTCTTCAGTATCCGAGATGACATTTTGCCCTAAAAGAAGAAAAGCATTCATTTTGTTTAACAGAGGATAAAAGATCGCTAGCTGATCTTTTTCATACACACACACGCACGCACACTCACACGCACATGCACATCAACAGAGACATTGAATAAGTGACGAAAAAAGCATGAAGTATATAACAGTGAAACGTTTGAATTAATGAAAATGTAGTCTCATACGGTTGTCAAGAAATGTTTTGATACGCTCCCCTACACCACAAAAACATAATATACAGTTGTTATTTAAAGTCGCAACAGACAAATCCCAGTGACGTTTGGACCAGAAATGATAGGTCACCAGAGGTCCTGCGCGTACACAGTGAGTTACTACGGCTGAGTTTTCTAACATTCGTTTAACCTCAGACCAGAGCGCAGTTTTGGTTTCGATTTTTAAAAATCCTTACTCAAAGTTAACCTCAGATGAAATACGTTTATGAATCGAGAGATAAGGAAATGTGAGAACCTCTTATGCATTGCTGACCTTATAATCTACAGCCAACAGAAAGTGTAGATGTACGCTACAAGTCCTAACTGATTTGTATCAAACAACGTCAATAGCGAACACGCTTATAACTTACTGACGTATATAACGGGCTGTGTTTTAGGCCCGACCACTTGATGTATATTTTAGTGGAAATGTATATTTTAAACGAACAGCGATTACAATGAACTAAAATTCGTGGTCCCTTATATTTACCTGTAGTTTACTGCATAGCCTGTCAGTGTAAGACTGAATGGAACAACAGACAAATCCTGGAGTTTACCTAGCGCACTTCCCCGTGTAGTCGCCTGCACAGCGTCGAATAACTGTTTTCGGGAGTTGTGATTAGACTTTGTTCCCAATCATTATATCACCATGACTCAACTGTTATCAACAGTCGTGCAGGTAGCGGTTACTGCTGTAGACACATATACTCATGCCAATAGTGGTTGTCACACACACACACACTACCCCCCACCTCACACCCACCCCACACTCCCTCTCCAAAAATTAAAGGGGGTGACAACCATTATTGGCATGAGTATATATATATGATCACATAATTAGCATCCTGTTTCTACTACGACTACTAACGAGATCTATATTTGCCACGATGAGTAACCTGTATTAGAATGGCTGATATCAGTAACTCAGTCGGATCCATACATGCTCGACTATTACCTAACGTAGTACAACTTACCTGTTATGTCACAATTAATCACTTCGAATATATCTCAAACTTCCTGTGCGGACTGTTTCGAGATCACTGAAGCTTTCTTCGATAAGATGTAGAACGTTAGTGTGCATGTCTTGCGTCTGTGCGCCTTTTGATAGCACTCCAGAGTTGCCTCCCTTGGCTGGCTTTATTTTGTTTTGAATTCCTGCCTTGTCACTACAGCTATATGTGTAGCTTCGTATAACTTTAAAACAAGAGACCAAAACAAGTACTGCCTTATCACTACAGCTATATGTGTAGCTTCGTATAACTTTAAAACAAGAGACCAAAACAAGTACTGCCTTGTCACTACAGCTTTATGTGTAGCTTCGTATAACTTTAAAACAAGAGACCAAAACAAGTACTGCCTTGTCACTACAGCTTTATGTGTAGCTTCGTATAACTTTAAAACAAGAGACCAAAACAAGTACTGCCTTGTCACTACAGCTATATGTGTAGCTTCGTATAACTTTAAAACAAGAGACCAAAACAAGTACTGCCTTGTCACTACAGCTTTATGTGTAGCTTCGTATAACTTTAAAACAAGAGACCAAAACAAGTACTGCCTTGTCACTACAGCTATATGTGTAGCTTCGTATAACTTTAAAACAAGAGAACAAAACAAGCACTGCCTTGTCACTAAAGCTATATGTGTAGCTTCGTATAACTTTAAAACAAGAGACCAAAACAGTACTGCCTTGTCACTACACAGTTGCTTCACTAACAAAGTGTCTCACAAGGTGTCCATGATATAGCTGGCATATTGCAGACCACTGTGTTCATGGACAAGTATACAAACAAACTATTTATGAATGTGAAAAATATGTATCAGCTAAGAGATCGAATAATCTGTACTGCTATGACCAGAGTAGCCTGTTAAAAGTCTTCCTGTAGTTTACGTTAAAAGTGACTGCATCTGATCTCCTGTGTAAAAGTGGTTTGTTTACAATGGGAAATGTGCAAGAATGGCTTCTGTAATGTTGGTGTCCTTAATCTGTGACAAAGAAAAGCAGTAACAATCCCCTTCGCTATAGCACCCAGGGAATGAATGTGAACATTTCATTCACAAACTATGGTAACAGCTTGATTGACTAATGCTTGGTCCTAGCATAATATAACGAGGCTCAAAAGTGTAGCTCTTGAAGAAATGACACATTCTCGCCGCTGTATATCCTAATGACTCAAACCTTTTTCAAAGCGAGATTGTGCAAACGTGAGATATTAGAGATATTGAGCGGTTGGAAATCTGTTTCGTTATGACTATGACTCACCGAAACTTCAGTGATATTTCACATTTTTTCCAAATGTTAAACATACACAGACATTTTTGTCCCCATCTTTATCCTCCCTCATCCGATCAGCAGCCATTTTAAAGAATATCATCACATAACAAAGTTATGTACTTGAGAAGAGACGACTACTGGAATATGACGTCATGGTGAGTCATTTTCATTTGTTCATGTTTGTTTGTTGGTATATTTAAAGCAAAATGACCTACAAATGTAGCATGACGTTTTATACTGGGTATTATCAGCTGTACAATAAAGATGTTGAACTGTTTGTATTTTGTTTCTTTACCTTTGGTTTGTCTGTTGTTTTACGCCGCACTCAGCAATATTCCAGCTATATGGCGGCGGTCTGTAAGTAATCGGGTCTCTACCAGACAATATTGTGATCAACAGGTTGAGCATCGAGTGTTGTATTTGATAGAAAAATATTGGCATTTAATTTTCATGTTTTCATGCCTCTTCACGTACAATCCGCCGTAAGAGATACGAGGTACAGCATGCCACAGGGTTATAGGTCACTCGATTTATGTTGGTAAATGTTCTCTCCAGAATGTTTCAGTTTAGTCAACTTCAGGAAATGTGCAAGATCATTGATGTACTTGAAAAGGGTTTCCTGCACTTGTGGAACTGCACAACCGGGTGATTAAGGTGGTAGTGGCATTGATCAGGCGAACAATTTCCCAAATCATCGTGACTGTCAACTCGGAGATACTTTCTGAGTAACTTCAACACATTTCAACTAAATATCAATGTAACCTCCACTGATATGAAACATATAGACTTGTCTGTTCAGGTAGATGGCGTCGGTCTGTAAAATCTCGAGTCTGGACCAGACAATCCAGTGATCAACAGCATGAGTAGCGATCTACGCAATTGGGATACAATGACATGTGTCAATCAAGTCAGTGAGCCTGACCATCCGATCCCGTTGGTCGCCTCTTACGACAAGCATGTGTTGCTGCAGATCAATTCTTACCCGGATCTTCACCAGTTATAGTATGTAAGTATACAGACATGAAATCAGCATCCTCAAGAGCTTAACTTTTCCTGCTGGTTCGCAGTTCGGAGTTCAATCCCTTTATGCTGAATAAGCTAGTAAAGCGGGTGCTTTGCTCAGTTTGCAACAATAACTGTAATACACTTTGACACAAATGAGTGAGAGAAAGGATTTGGGGACTTCTGAATTTTAATACCATTCACATGTTAAACAGTATTTACATGTTAGTGGATGTACACATTATCCTGTAAAGGTATATTACTAGATAATCGTTTGGACTTTGTGATCCTAGGTGACAGCTCTCCTGACATCACACGTGACCCCAGTATTTCCGATCACGTGGTCATACGCGGTGCTGTCAACTAACATCAGAAAGCGTAGAGAAGACACATCTGTAAGCCTTTTAAGTTGATGAACCCTGCATAATAGGTATTGTTTAAACTGCAGCCTTATTGCTTATTGTGTGTGACACCGCAGTTACCTATATTCCAGTGATACCCGAAGTCTGGAATATGTGGCAAGTCTAGATTACTTCAGTTTCAGTTTCTGAAAATGATGAAAGTCTCTTGGCCCCTTTTGAATATAGTTTATGTATATAATTTAGGAACTGTTTTTCTTCTGTAAAGTATATTCGTTTCAGAGACCAGGCGTTCGTCAACCGAACGTCCTGAAGACAGTCTGAAGAACCACACGATGTCGGACCTCAAATGATCCATGCCGCCAAGCATAACCAAGAATGGTATATGCTGATCTAGCGAAGAGAGATTTAGGAAGACAACCTGAAATAATCGGATTGAGATTAAATAAAATCATCCTTCAAGGCACCTACAAAGCTCTTGACTTCAGCCGAGCGCTGAGAATGGAATGAGTTGTTAAATATTATGCGCTGGGATCTGTAAAAAGAAACTAGATGTAGGAGTGCTTATGTTTCAACTAGCGCCCTCTGTAGGCGCTGAGCCAGTCGTCCACTATCTGCGTATTGTATTTGTGCGGCCCTCTTCCTCCAACTAACACAACTGGGGGGCATCTTAAATTCTCGTCACTTAGCACCATGGCCGCCTCTAATCTGTCGTCCATACTTTGGGCGGTTCCTATTTGATACTTTGGTACACTCTATCCTGTAAAGGTACAGTACTAGATAATCCTTTACACCTTGTGATCCTAGGTGACAGCCCTCCTGACATCACACGTGACCCCAGTATTTCCGGTCACGTGGTCATACGCGGTGCTGTCAACTAACATCAGAAAGCGTACAGAAGCACAGCTATGAGCTTTTTAAGTTCATGAAGCCTGCATAATAGGTATTGTTTAAACTGCAGTCTTATTGCTGAGTGTATGACACCGCAGCTACCAATATTCCAAAGATATCCGAGCGGCTAGTCTGTCATACAGACTCTGAAACAAATATACCAATGCAAGTCTAGAATATGTGGCAAGTCTAGATTACTACAGTTTCAGTTTTCTATTCACATTATTTTATGAATATAATTTAGGAACTGTATTTTCTGTAAAATATGTTCGGTTCAGAGGCAATCTGAAGAACCACACTATGTCGGACCTCCAATGATCCACGCCGCCAAGCATAATCAACAATGGTATAGACGTAGGAGTGCGCATGTTTCAACTAGCGCCCTCTGTAGGCGCTGAGCCAGTCGTCCACTATTTGTGTACTGTATCTGCCCGGCCCTCTTCCTCCAGCTAACACAATCACGCCATCTTGGATAATGTACAGCCGCTCTGGGAGGGAAAGGTACTTCTTGCAAGCATTATCTGTTAAGTCATCCAGAATTAGGGGGCATCTTAAATCCTCGTCACTTAGCATCTCGGCCGCCTCTACTCGGTCGTCCATACTTTGGGGGGTTTCAATTTGGTACTTATTATTATTCAAATTCCATCCGTCGGTTGGGTGGGCTTCCTGTATGTAAATAAGAAGAAAGTCAGCGATATGTCCATACTTTTGAACAATGTCGTTGAACTTGGCCAGTTTGGCCATAAAAGGAGGTCAGCTACAGCTTCCAAAGTTGAGAACCAGAGGGCGCCCCTTCTTCATGAAGTCCAGCAGACGATGTTTGGTTTTGCCGTCTGCTGACCAGACAACTGCGTCGGGGGCTCTACACTTCTCTTCAGGATGGGAGCCTGCATCCAGTAACCATTCTTCTAGAATCAGTTTCCAGTTTTTCACCTTGAGGATCGACTCGTACACGTCGGTTCCATTCACCGAGGTATCGGCTAGGTTATTGTCCAGAAAATTAGTAAACAGTCGTTTGACCGGAGGAAATATTCTTCCGATGTTAGCGAGAGTGACTATCGTCACAAACCTCAACAGTACAGCCACGGTCCCCCAAATGGTCTTCAGTAACCGAGATGACATTTTGCCCTAAAAGAAGAAAAGCATTCATTTTGTTTAACAGAGGATAAAAGATCGCTAGCTGATCTTTTTCATACACACACACACGCACACGCACGCACACGCACACGCACACGCACATGCACAGAGACATGGAACAAGTGACGAAAAAAGCATGGAGTATATAACAGTGAAACGTTTGAATTAATGAAAATGTAGTCTCATACGGTTGTCAAGAATTTTTTTGATACGCTCCCCTACACCACAAACACATATACAGTTGTTATTTAAAGTCGCACCAGACAAATCCCAGTGACGTTTGGACCAGAAAAGATAGGTCACCAGAGGTCCTGCGCGTACACAGTGAGTTACTACGGCTGAGTTTTCTAACATTCGTTTAACCTCAGACCAGAGCGCAGTTTTGGTTTCGATTTTTTAAAATCCTTACTCAAAGTTAACCTCAGATGAAATACGTTTATGAATCGAGAGATAAGGAAATGTGAGAACCTCTGATGCATTGCTGACCTTATAATCTACAGCCAACAGAAAGTGTAGATGTACGCTACAAGTCCTAACTGACTGGTATCAAACAACGTCAATAGCGAACACGCTTATGACTTACTGACGTATATAACGGGCTGTGTTTTAGGCCCGTCCACTTGATGTATATTTGAGTCGAAATGTATATTTTAAAAGAACAGCGGTCATAATGAACTAAAATTCGTAGTGCCTTTACCTGTAGTTTACTGCATAGCCTGTCAGTGTAAGACTGAATGGAACAACAGACAAATCCTGGAGTTTACCCAGCGCACTTCCCCGTGTAGTCGCCTGCACAACGTCGAATAACTGTTTGCTGAGTTGTGATTAGACTTTGTTCACTATCGTTATGTCACCATGACTCAGCTGTCAACAGTCGTGCAGGTAGCGGTTACTGCTGTAGACACATATACTCATGCCAATAGTGGTTGTCACCCACTCCCTACTCCAACCCCACACACACCCCACAACCCCACCCCACACTCCCTCTCCAAAAATTAAAGGGGGTGACAACCATTATTGGCATGAGTATATATATATGATCACATAATTAGCATCCTGTTTCTACTACGACTACTAACGAGATCTATATTTGCCACGATGAGTAACCTGTATTAGAATGGCTGATATCAGTAACTCAGTCGGATCCATACATGCTCGACTATTACCTAACGTAGTACAACTTACCTGTTATGTCACAATTAATCACTTCGAGTATATCTCAATCTTCCTGTGCGGACTGTTTCGAGATCACTGAAGCTTTCTTCGATAAGATGTAGAACGTTAGTGTGCATGTCTTGCGTTTGTGCGCCTTTTGATAGCACTCCAGAGTTGCCTCCCTTGGCTGGCTTTATTTTGTTTTGACTTCCGGACGTATGTTCGAGAAAACCCTGCATCGTTCTGAGAGAATAATGAGGGAGCCTGGCTTTGCTAGACTGCTCGAGAACTGTGTAAGAGCCTTATAAGGGCTGGTTGTTGCGTTGTGCGACGGGACTTTTCACATGACTGGATTCATGTGCATCTGTCTGCCACCGTCAAGTTGATCAACATTCAAGACTGACCGTGCTGGCCTATTCGTCTACTGTCATTGTAAAAACCCTTCAGTCAGTATATCTGACTCACTGTAAATGTCAAGATTCTAGTGAGTCAATATTTTAGATTTGTGACCCAATATTTTAGATTTGTGACTCAATTACATTGTATTAGATATCTGTATTGTCATTCATTGTAGCTTGATCATTGTTTGCTCAACATATTATTGAATATTTTAGACTTGTCTGTCTGTCTATTTTGCTGGTTCACAGGGGAGTCTTAAAACTTATTAACCGTAACACTAAAAACAAGAGAACAAAACTAGTACTACAGCTATATGTGTAGCTTCGTATAACTTTAAAACAAGAGAACAAAACAAGTTCTGCCTTGTCACTACAGCTATATGTGTAGCTTCGTATTGCTTTAAAACAAGAGACCAAAACAAGTGCTGCCTTGTCACTACAGCTATATGTGTAGCTTCGTATAACTTTAAAACAAGAGAACAAAACAAGTGCTGCCTTGTCACTACAGCTATATGTGTAGCTTCGTATAACTTTAAAACAAGAGAACAAAACAAGTGCTGCCTTGTCACTACAGCTATATGTGTAGCTTCGTATAACTTTAAAACAAGAGAACAAAACAAATACTGCCTTGTCACTACAGCTATATGTGTAGCTTCGTATAACTTTAAAACAAGAGAACTAAACAAGTACTGCCTTGTCACTAAAGCTATATGTGTAGCTTCGTATGTCTTTAAAACAAGAGACCAAAACAAGTGCTGCCTTATCACTACAGCTATATGTGTAGCTTCGTATAACTTTAAAACAAGAGAACAAAACAAGTACTGCCTTGTCACTAAAGCTATATGTGTAGCTTCGTATGTCTTTAAAACAAGAGACCAAAACAAGTGCTGCCTTATCACTACAGCTATATGTGTAGCTTCGTATAACTTTAAAACAAGAGAACAAAACAAGTACTGCCTTGTCACTACAGCTATATGTGTAGCTTCGTATGTCTTTAAAACAAGAGACCATAACAAGTGCTGCCTTATCACTACAGCTATATGTGTAGCTTCATATAACTTTAAAACAAGAGACCAAAACAAGTACTGCCTTGTCACTACAGCTATATGTGTAGCTTCGTATAACTTTAAAACAAGAGAACAAAACAAGTACTGCCTTGTCACTAAAGCTATATGTGTAGCTTCGTATAACTTTAAAACAAGAGACCAAAACAAGTACTGTTATAGTAAGACGCTGTCTCTGTTCAGGTAGTAGTGTCTGTTATAGTAAGAGGCTGTGTCTGTTCAGGTAGTAGTGTCTGTTATAGTAAGAGGCTGTGTCTGTTCGGGTAGTAGTGTCTGTTATAGTAAGACACTGTGTCTGTTCAGGTAGTAGTGTCTGTTATAGTAAGACACTGTGTCTGTTCAGGTAGCAGTGTCCGTTCTAGTAACACACTGTGTCTGTTCAGGTGGAAGTGTCTGTTAAAGTAAGACACTGTGTTCAGGTAGTAGTGTCTGTTATGGTAAGACCCTGTCTCCGTTCAGGTAGTAGTGTCTGTTATAGTAAGACACTGTGTCTGTTCAGGTAGTAGTGTCTGTTATAGTAAGACGCTCTGTCTGTTCAGGTTGTAGTGTCTGTTATAGTAAGAGGCTGTGTTCAGGTTGTAGTGTCAGGAACACCATGCTTCACTAACTTGACGCTCAAAATCCTTCTCCTTTTCACCAGGTAAACATATACTTGGTATGGAAATTTACATTGATTGCATCACTATACATGTCTAAATAAATTGTCAAATGAATCTTTTCTATTTGGTTGAATAACAATTAGTATTTTTAAAATCGATGACCTTTCCTTGAAAGCAATAAGTAATATTGTTTTACCTGGTCATTCCGCTATATTATCATCTCATTCGTTGTGTTGTCTTCCTGAAACTGATCGTCGAATCTCAGAATCGCCCTGATTATGAGTTTAGATTTGTCAGCACAAAATGCATCTCCACGAGCTGCTTTACTGTGGGTTTTACCAATATATAATGCTAATGGTGAAAATACGGATCAAACACTAACCTCGAACTCAACTCGTTCATTCACCCTGACTACCGAGACGAGGTCCCCCCTAAAACAGTATTTATCTGTTCTCGATCTGGTCAAAGTTACGGAAATTAAAATCCTTATTACTATGGGAGCCCTAAGCTGATAAAGAAACGACTGACGGGATCCTGTGGTGATACTGGCTGATTTAGTTGATATATGGGATATCCGATATATTGACCTGTCCAACATCTAGACCATCTTTTGTACAACACTGATCAACCATAGAACTCATATATTTCATGACAAAATGTGTTTTGAGAAAAAAAGATTCTATGTCTGCCTTCTAACAACATAATAATAGTCTTGAATATGTTTGAAATGGACACGTACCTGAGAAAAAATCAATCTGTAAACAGTTCCCAGCCAAAGGAGCTGAGGTCAGTAGGCCGCCGACCGTTAATTTGTCCGGAGGGTATAGGTATATATACTCCCCATCAAAACTCACTACTCGGTAGTGTAAATGTAGCCACTTACTTAAGTCAACTCTTCTAAACTAGATTTTGCAAAATTTTCCATACTGTTTAAAGTTACTGTTTACACATGAACTGATGTATTGTAAAACAAATTCGTAACGTGAAAGATTATTGTCATGATTGAAATGATGAAACTGAGTGAAAAGTAGCGAATTTTTAACAAACTATTACACCACAACACAGCTGTTCACATGCACGATATTTGCACATGCTTTTGAGCAATTTAATGCATGATCCTCGTGCTATTCATCTGCATAAAGTTTGCAGTTGGTTCCCCAAAGTTATATAGTGGAGAAATTCATTCACTAAACGCCAAAAGAAACGTTACCCTCCTTCCTTAATGACGGAGGTACCTATCTTCAGCTGGTGTTGTGAGTGGACGTCCACTTCTTGGTCTGTCTACGGGGACCTGTCTACGGGGACCCCAGTCAGTCTGAAGCCCTGAATAAGTCATAACCGTAATACGATGGCATCCGAGGGTGTTGGCAACAGCATTGTATGTGGACCCCATCTGCACCATTACGATGACTCTTTCTCTCTCTCCAGCTGTTAATCGTGGCATATTTCTCGTACTTGTGTATCATATCATGCATTCTAGTCTCTCTTTATACCCTATAGAATCATTATATATGTGAAATGAATGCAAATACTGCCTAAAAATTGCTGCGATTTGGCGATTGATATTGCTATGTATAAACAAAAAAAGGAAAAATTTTACTTTGCAAGCAAAAATGTTAACAAAGATAATTCTAGATGTTCCTAAACATTTGTTCACAATAAAAAAGACACGTTTTACTTGTTTTCACTAATGCAAATTAGCAAAACAAGTTTTAAAAGACTGAAATCATAGGAATGATTATTTTACAATTTTACACACTCTACGTCAGTTGTTTCTTGTTTTAATAGTTGAAAAATGGTGATTTTAAATGGTTTATCTTTATCTCTAATCAGAATTTTATTTCAACCTTTCTTTTGGACATCTAAATCACTGTTATTGGTTTATTTCGGCATGGACGAAAATAGGACAATTGAACTCTTCTAAAAAATATGCATTTCGCCTAAATATAAATGCATTTGAGATTTGTTTGCGTTATTTGCATAAAACTGTGTTTTTAAGCTTTTTTTGTAAACTAATACTTTTTAACATATCTTTCATAGTTTTTAAGTATTTCATAAATGTAGGAGGGTAACGTTTCTTTTGGCGTTTAGTGTATATGCATAACATATCTTCAATATAGCTTCTACCATATCTTCAATATTAGCAAGATCCGAACCCTCTTAGACTTCAACACCGCCCAGCTTCTAACGACCAGCCTTGTTCTCTCTAAACTTGATTACTGCAACTCCCCTCTATTACAACATTCCTCAACAGCTCCTTTCACAACTCCAACGGATTCAGAATTCAGCCGCCCGTGTTGTTGCCCGTGCACCAAACTGTGACACCTATCCTCCAAACTCTTCACTGGCTTCCTGTATCAAGCAGAATTCAATACAAACTTCTTCTTCTTACACACAGCTGCATCTATGAAAACATGTTTTCTCAATATCTTAAAAGCCTCATTCATCTCCATGTTCCAAGCCGATTGCTCCGCTCGTCAAACTCCCTACTGCTTACACAGCCTCACGTCAAAACAGCCATGGGATCAAGAGCGTTCTCTGCTGCAGCCCCCTATCTCTGGAACATTCTACCACTCACCCTAAAAGAAATAGAATCTGCTGATGCTTTCAAAACTGCCCTCAAAACTCATCTGTTCAAACTCTCTTTTCCATAGACATTGTCTACAATCTTTTCTCTTCATAGCGCCATTGAGCAATATCTTTTGGAAATAGGCGCTCTATAAATCAATTATTATTATTATTATTATTATATAGTGAGTGCTTTCAGTGAGTCTAAACTTTTCATGGGTAGTATATGTTTACTTGGCGTTGCGTTTTGGCGCAACATCCGCACTGTCCAAAAAACGTAATCTTATGCCTGTGCCTGGACCAGACAATCCAGTGAGCAACGATCTACGCAATTGACATGTGTCAACCAAGTCAGCGAGCTTGACCACCCGATCCCGTTAATCGCCTCTTACGACAAGAATGGGTTGCTGAAGATCAATTCTAACTGAGATCATCACGCTTCACGAGTTATACTATGTAAGTGAATACAGGCATAGTATCATCCTCCTCAAGAGGATTATAGGTCACTAGATTTATGTTGGTAAATGTTCTTTTATTCGAGTTTCTCTAGAATGTATAGCTTTAAGTCTTCTTTAGTAAATATGCAAGATCATCGAGGTGCTTGAAAGAAGTTTCCTGCACTTGTGGAACTGCACAACCGGGTGATTAAGGTTGTTGTGATATCGATCAGGAAAACATTTCCCCAAATCATCGTAACTGTCAACTTGGAGACACTTTCTATGTAACTTCAACACATTTCAACTAAATATCAATGTAACATCCACTGATATGAACCATATAGACTTTGACCGCGTCTGTAAATACACGTAGTAGTCCTATTTATGTTGATAATATGTTGGTTAGTTGGGTTGTTGTTTAACGCCACACTCACCAATAGTCCAGCTATATTGTGGCGGTCTGTAAAAAACTCGAGTCTGGGCCAGACAACCCAGTGATCAACAGCGTCAGCATCGATCTACGCAATTGGGATACAATGACATGTGTCAACCAAGTCAGCGAATCTGACCATCCGATCCCCTTTGTCACCTGGGTTACTGCATGGGTTACTGCAGATCAATTCTAAGCCGGATCTTCACGAGTTATACTATGTAAGTGAATACAGACATGAAAGCAGCATCCCCAAGAGCTTGACTTTTCTTGCTGGTTCGCAGTTCGGAGTTCAGGCCCATGGAAAACGAGATAATACCTTTATGCCGAACAAGCTTGTAAAGCGGGTGCCTTGCTCTGTTTGCAGAATTAACTGTAATACACTTTGACACAGATGAGACACAGTGAGAGAAGGGATTTGGGACTTCTGAATTTTAATACCATTCACATGTTCAACAGTATTTACATGATATTGGATGTACACATTATCCTGTAAAGGTATATTACTAGATAATGGTTTGGACTTTGTGATACTAGGTGACAGCTCTCCTGACATCACACGTGACCTCAGTATTTCCGATCACGTGGTCATACGCGGTGCTGTCAACTAACATCAGAAAGCGTACAGAAGACACACCTGTAAGCCTTTTAAGTTGATGAACCCTGCATAATAGGTAGCCTATTGTTTAAATTGCAGCCTTATTGCTTAGTGAAGAGAGATACAGGAAGACTAGCATACCACAACCTGAAATAATCTGATTAAGATTAAACAAAATCATCCTTCAAGGCACCTACAAAGCTCTTGAATTCAGCCGAGCGCTGAGAATGGAATGAGTGGTTAAATATTATGCGCTGGGATCTGTGAAAAGAAAGTAGATGTAGGAGTGCGCATGTTTGAACTAGCGCCCTCTGTAGGCGCTGAGCCAGTCGTCCACTATCTGCGTATTGTATTTTTTCGGCCCTCTTCCTCCAGCTAACACAACCACACCATCTTGGATAATGTACAGCCGCTCTGGGAGGGAAACATACTTCCTGCAAGCATCATCTGTTAAGTCATCCAGAATTAGGGGGCATCTTAAATTCTCGTCACTTAGCATTATGGCCGCCTCTATTCGGTCGTCCATACTTTGGGCGGTTCCAATTTGGTACTTTGGCACACACTATCCTGTAACGGTACAGTACTAGACAATCGTTTACACGTTGTGATCCTAGGTGACAGCTCTCCTGACATCACACGTGACCCCAGTATTTCCGATCACGTGGTCATACGCGGTGCTGTCAACTAACATCAGAAAGCGTACAGAAGACACAACTGTAAGCCTTTTAAGTTGATGAAACCTGCATAATAGGTAGCCTATTGTTTAAACTGCAGCCTTATTGCTTAGTGTGTGTGACACCGCAGTTACCAATATTCCAGGCTAGTCTGTCATACAGACCCTGAAACAAATCTCTACCCAGTGCAAGTCTGGAATATGTGGCAAGTCTAGATTACTTCAGTTTCAGTCTCTTGGTTCCTATATAATATAGTTTATGTATATAATCTAGAAATTGTTCTGTAAAATATGTTCCTTTCAGAGACCAGACGTTCGATTACCGAGCGGCCTGATGACAGTCTGAAGAACCACACTATGTCGGACCTCCAATGATCCACGTCATCAAGCATAATCAAGAATGGTATATGCTGATCTAGCGAAGAGAGATTTAGGAAGACTAGCATACCACAACCTGAAATAATCTGATTCAGCCGAGCGCTGAGAATGGAATGAGTTGTTAAATATTATGCGCTGGGATCTGTAAAAAGAAACTAGATGTAGGAGTGCGCATGTTTGAACTAGCGCCCTGTGTAGGCGCTGAGCCAGTCGTCCACTATCTGTGTATTGTATATGAGCGGCCCTCTTCCCCCAGCTAACACAACTACACCATCAAAGATAATGTACAGCCGCTCTGGGAGGGAAACATACTTCCTGCAAGCATCATCTGTTAAGTCATCCAGAATTAGGGGGCATCTTAAATTCTCGTCACTTAGCATCTCGGCCGCCTCTACTCGGTCGTCCATACTTTGGGCGGTTCCAATTTGGTACTTATTATTATTCAAATTCCATCCGTCAGTTGGGTGGGCCTCCTGTATGTATATAAGAAGAAAGTCAGCGATATGTCCATACTTTTGAACAATGTCGTTGAACTTGGCCAGTTTGGCCATAAAGGGAGGTCAGGTACAGCTTCCAAAGTTGAGAACCAGAGGGCGCCCTTTCTTCATGAAGTCCAGCAGACGATGTTTGGTTTTGCCGTCTGCTGACCAGACAACTGCGTCGGGAGCTCTACAATTCACTTCAGGGTGGGAGCCTGCATCCAGTAACCATTCTACCAGAATCAGCTTCCAGTTTTTCACGTTGAGGAACGACTCATACGAGTCAGTTCCACTCACTGAGGAACCTTCATGGATTTTGTCTAGATACCTTATAACCCGTCGTTTGACCGGTGGACATATTCTTCCGATGTTAACGGTAATAATTGTCGTCACAAACCTAAACAGTACAGCCACGGTCCTCCAAATCGTCTTCAGTATCTGAGATGACATTTGGCCCTAAAAGAAGAAAAGCATTCATTTTGTTTAACAGAAGAGCTAGATTTCATCATCCGATCTTGCAGGGGCACTTTGTGATAGCGAGAGGTTGTCGGTGTAACATTTCGGACATCGAGTTTATCTTGTAACCCCCTATCAACAGAGACATTGACACAAGTGACGAAAGAAGCATGGAGTATATAACAGTGAAACGTTTGAATCAATGAAAATTAGTCTCATACGGTTGTCCAGAAATGTTTTGGTACGTTCCCCTACACCACAGGAACATACACAGTTGTTATCTAAAGTTGCACCAGACAAACCCCAGTGACGTTTGGACCATAAACCCTAGTGGGAGATATTATGAGCAACGAGGTACGGTCAGCGAGCTCGAACACCCGATCAATCAAGCTGCCCCTTGCTTCACGCATTGGTGTTGAAGAATCATGTCACAACTAGAATCCCAGCTGTTACCTGGGTTACCAGAGGCCCTGCGCCTACACAGTGTTGCGGTGAAGAGTTGCTACGGCTGTGTTTTCTAACATTCGTTTAACCTTGCGCAGCAAGAGCGCAGTTTTGGTTTCCATTATAGAAATATCCTCACATCTCAGATTAAATACGTGTACGAGATAAGGAAATATGAGAACCTCTGATGCATTGCTGACTTATTTTATAATCTGCAGCCAACAGAAGTGTAGATGTATGCTGAAAGTCCAAACTGATTTGTATCAAACAAGGTCTATAGCGAACACGCTTATGACTTACTGACGTATATAACGGGCTGTGTTTTTGGCCCGTCCACTTGATGTATATTTTAGTCGAAATGCGTATAACGAACAGCGATTACAATGAACTAAAATTCGTGGTCCCTTATATTTACCTGTAGTTTACTGCATAGCCTGTCAGTGTAAGACTGAATGGAACAACGGACAAATCCTGGCGTTATCCCAGCGCACTTCCCCGTGTAGTCGCCTGCACAGCGTCCAGTAAGTGTTTTGTGGTCATGATGAGACTTTGATCCCTATCGTTATGTAATCATGACTCAGCTGTTATCAACAGTGGCACAGATAATGTTTTTTGCTGTAGACGCATATTTGCTCACATAATTTGCGGCCTCTTGCAACTACGAGTACCAACGAGATCTATATTTGGCACGATGAGTTATCTGTAGTAGAATGGCTGATATCTGTAACTGAGTTAATCAAATGTATCTTGAGAGTTCATGTTTGTGCTGTTCCTGGAGCTGAAGCTTTCTTCGATAAGATGTAGGACGCCATTGTGCATGTCTTGCGTTTGTGCGACATGTTCTAACGTGGAGTTTCTGAGTATCTAACAATACGAGGACAAATCTAGTAATGCCTTATCACTACAGCTGTATGTGTAGCTTACATTACACATATAACAACAGTAATATTGCAGTGTTTATTTTCTCCTTAAGTCATAAGACAAAACAAACACTGCAATGACACTGTGGTTATATGTGTTGTTTCGTATGATATAACCACAAAACAAACACTGCAATGTCACTGTCGCTATGTGTGTAGTTTCGTATGATATAACCACAAAACAAACACTGCAATCTCACTGTGGTTATATGTGTTGTTTCGTATGATATAACGACAAAACAAACACTGCAATGTCACTGTCGCTATGTGTGTAGTTTCGTATGATATAACCACAAAACAAACACTGCAATCTCACTGTGGTTATATGTGCAGCTTCGTCTGCCATAACGACAAAACAAACACTGCAATGTCACTGTCGCTATGTGTGTAGTTTCGTATGTTATAACCACAAAACAAACACTGCAATCTCACTGTGGTTATATGTGCAGCTTCGTCTGCCATAACGACAAAACAAACACTGCAATGTCACTGTCGCTATGTGTGTAGTTTCGTATGATATAACCACAAAACAAACATTGCAATGTCACTGTTTTTATATGTGCAGCTTCGTCTGACATAACGACAAAACAAACACTGCAATGTCACTGTCGCTATGTGTGTAGTTTCGTATGATATAACCACAAAACAAACATTGCAATGTCACTGTGGTTATAGGTTAGCTCCGTATGATATAACCACAAAACAAAGACTGCAATGTCACTGTGGTTATAGGTGTAGCTTCGTTTGATATAGCGACAAAACACAGCAATGTCACTGTTGCTATATGTGTAGCTTCGTATGACATAACGACAAAACACTGCAATCTCACTGTGTGTTTTTTGTAATTTCGTATGATATAACCACAAAACAAACACAGCAATGTCACTGTGGTTATGTGTGTAGCTTCGTATGATATAACCACAAAACAAACTCTGCAATGTCACTGTGGCTATATTTGTACCTTTGTATGATATAATCACAAAACAAACACTGCAATGTCACTGAGGTTATAGGTATAGCTTCGTTTGATATAGCGACAAAACACAGCAATGTCACTGTTGCTATATGTGTAGCTTCGTATGACATAACAACAAAACACTGCAATCTCACTGTGATTTTTTTGTTGTCGTTTCTCTATGATATAACGACAAAACAAATACTGCAATGTCATTGTGGTTATATGTGTGGCTTCGTATGATATCACCACAAAACAAACACTGCAATGTCACTGTGGTTATAGGTGTAGCTTCGTTTGATATAGCGACAAAACACAGCAATGTCACTGTTGCTATATGTGTAGCTTCGTATGACATAACGACAAAACACTGCAATCTCACTGTGATTTTTTTGTTGTAGTTTCGTATGATATAACGACAAAACAAATACTGCAATGTCATTGTGGTTATATGTGTGGCTTCGTATGATATCACCACAAAACAAACAGTGCAATGTCACTGTGGTTATAGGTGTAGCTTCGTATGACATAACGACAAAACAAACACAGCAATGTCAATATCTGTACCTTCGTATGATATAACGACAAAACAAACACAGCAATGTCACTGTGGTTATATCTGTAGCTTCGTATCACATAACGACAAAACAAACACAGCAATGTCAATATCTGTACCTTCGTATGATATAACGACAAAACAAACACAGCAATGTCACTGTGGTTATATCTGTAGCTTCGTATCACATAACGACAAAACAAACACAGCAATGTCAATATCTGTACCTTCGTATGATATAACGACAAAACAAACACAGCAATGTCACTGTGGTTATAGGTGTAGCTTCTTATGATATAACGACAAAACAAACACTGCAATGTCACTCTAGTTATATGTGTAGCTTCGTATGATATAACCACAAAACAAACACTGCAATCCCACTGTGGTTATATGTGCAGCTTCGTCTGCCATAACGACAAAACAAACACTGCAATGTCACTGTCGCTATGTGTGTAGTTTCGTATGATATAACCACAAAACAAACATTGCAATGTCACTGTTTTTATATGTGCAGCTTCGTCTGACATAACGACAAAACAAACACTGCAATGTCACTGTCGCTATGTGTCTAGTTTCGTATGATATAACCACAAAACAAACATTGCAATGTCACTGTGGTTATAGGTTAGCTTCGTATGATATAACCACAAAACAACCTCTGCAATGTCACTGTGGCTATATGTGTAGCTTCGTATGATATAACGACAAAACACTGCAATCTCACTGTGTGTTTTTTGTAATTTCGTATGATATAATCACAAAACAAACACAGCAATGTCACTGTGGTTATGTGTGTAGCTTCGTATGATATAACCACAAAACAAACTCTGCAATGTCACTGTGGCTATATTTGTACCTTTGTATGATATAATCACAAAACAAACACAGCAATGTCACTGTGGTTATAGGTGTAGCTTCGTTTGATATAGCGACAAAACACAGCAATGTCACTGTTGCTATATGTGTAGCTTCGTATGATATAACGACAAAACACTGCAATCTCACTGTGTGTTTTTTGTAATTTCGTATGATATAACCACAAAACAAACACAGCAATGTCACTGTGGTTATGTGTGTAGCTTCGTATGATATAACCACAAAACAAACTCTGCAATGTCACTGTGGCTATATTTGTACCTTTGTATGATATAATCACAAAACAAACACTGCAATGTCACTGTGGTTATAGGTGTAGCTTCGTTTGATATAGCGACAAAACACAGCAATGTCACTGTTGCTATATGTGTAGCTTCGTATGACATAACGACAAAACACTGCAATCTCACTGTGATTTTTTTGTTGTAGTTTCGTATGATATAACGACAAAACAAATACTGCAATGTCATTGTGGTTATATGTGTGGCTTCGTATGATATCACCACAAAACAAACACTGCAATGTCACTGTGGTTATAGGTGTAGCTTCGTTTGATATAGCGACAAAACACAGCAATGTCACTGTTGCTATATGTGTAGCTTCGTATGACATAACGACAAAACACTGCAATCTCACTGTGATTTTTTTGTTGTAGTTTCGTATGATATAACGACAAAACAAATACTGCAATGTCATTGTGGTTATATGTGTGGCTTCGTATGATATCACCACAAAACAAACACTGCAATGTCACTGTGGTTATATCTGTAGCTTCGTATGACATAACGACAAAACAAACACAGCAATGTCAATATCTGTACCTTCGTATGATATAACGACAAAACAAACACAGCAATGTCACTGTGGTTATATCTGTAGCTTCGTATCACATAACGACAAAACAAACACAGCAATGTCAATATCTGTACCTTCGTATGATATAACGACAAAACAAACACAGCAATGTCACTGTGGTTATAGGTGTAGCTTCTTATGATATAACGACAAAACAAACACTGCAATGTCACTCTAGTTATATGTGTAGCTTCGTATGATATAACCACAAAACAAACACAGCAATGTCACTCTGGTTATATGTGTAGCTTCGTATGATATAACCACAAAACAAACACAGCAATGGCACTCTAGTTATATGTGTAGCTTCGTATGATATAACGACAAAACAAACACAGCAATGGCACTCTAGTTATATGTGTAGCTTCGTATGATATAACCACAAAACAAACACAGCAATGTCACTCTGGTTATATGTGTAGCTTCGTATGATATCACCACAAAACAAACATTGCAATGTCACTGTTTTTATATGTGTAGCTTCGTATGATATAACCACAAAACAAACACAGCAATGTCACTATGGTTTTATGCGTAGCTTCGTATGATATAACCACAAAACAAACACTGCAATGTCACTGTGGTTTTATGCGTAGCTTCGTATGATATAACCACAAAACAAACACTGCAATGTCACTGTGGTTATATGTGTAGCTTCGTATGATATAACCACAAAACAAACACAGCAATGTCACTATGGTTTTATGTGTAGCTTCGTATGATATAACCACAAAACAAACAGTGCAATGTCACTGTGGTTATATGTGTAGCTTCGTATGATATAACGACAAAACAAACACAACAATGTCACTGTGGTTATATGTGTAGCTTCGTAAGATATAATCACAAAACAAACAGTGCAATGTCACTGTGGTTATATTTGCAAAACAGAAACAGTTCAACATTTTTATTGCGTATCAATGCCCATTGCCTCCCAGAAGTGTCATGTTAAGGTCACCTTTAGCGGACCTACGCTGACGATATAATACTGAGGGTCGCTGCGATTCCAGTTTGGAATTATATAGATCAACACAATTTAGTCACGGATATATATATTGGATATCCGATATATTGATCTGTCCAATATCTAGACCATCTTTTGTACAACACTGTAAACCATAGAACTCATATATGTCATGACAAAATGTGTAATCTTATGCCTGTGCCTGGACCAAACAATCCAGTGATCAATAGCATGAGCATCGATCTACGCAATTGACATGTGTCAACAAGTCAGCGAGCTTGACCACCCGATCCCGTTAATCGCCTCTTACGACAAGCATGGGTTGCTGAAGATCAATTCTAACTCGGATCTTCACGCTTCACGAGTTATACTATGTAAGTGAATACAGGCATAGTATCATCCTCCTCAAAAGGATTATAGGTCACTAGATTTATGTTGGTAAATGTTCTTTTATTCGAGTCTCTCTAGAATGTATAGCTTTAAGTCAACTTCAGCAAATGTGCAAGATCATCGAGGTGCTTGAAAGAAGTTTCCGTCAATTGTGGAACTGCACAACCGGGTGATTAAGGTTGTTGTGATATCGATCAGGCAAACATTTCCCCAAATCATCGTGACTGTCAACTTGGAGATACTTTCTGAGTAACTTCAACACATTTCAACTAAATATCAATGTAACCTCCACTGATATGAAACATATCGACTTGTCTGACCAATAGTCCAGCTATATGGCGGCGGTCTGTAACAAACTCGAATCTGCACCAGACAATCCAATGATCAACAGCATGAGCATCGATCTACGCAATTGGGATACAATGACATGTGTCAACCAAGTCAGCGAGTCTGACCATCCGATCCCCTTTGTCGCCACTTACGACAAGCATGGGTTACTGCAGATCAATTCTAAGCCGGATCTTCACGAGTTATACTATGTAAGTGAATACAGACATGAAAGCAGCAACCTCAAGAGCTTGACTTTTCTTGCTGGTTTGACAGTTCGGAGTTCAGGCCCATGGAAAACGAGATAACACCTTTATGTTGAATAAACAAGTAAAGCGGGTGCCTTGCTCTGTTTGCAACAATAACTGTAGTACACTTTGACACAAATGAGTGAGAGAAGGGATTTGGGGACTTCTGAATTTTAATACCATTCACATGTTCAACAGTATTTACATGATAGTGGTATATTGATGAGGTATATTACTAGATAATCGTTTGGACTTTGTGATCCTAGGTGACAGCTCTCCTGACATCACACGTGACCCCAGTATTTCCAGTCATGTGGTCATACGCGGTGCTGTCAACTAACATCAGAAAGCGTACAGAAGACACACCTGTAAGCCTTTTAAGTTGATGAAACCTGCATAATAGGTAGCCTATTGTTTAAACTGCAGCCTTATTGCTTTCTGTGTGTGACACCGCAGTTACCAATATTCCAGTGATATCCGACGGGCTAGTCTGTCATACAGACCCTGAAACAAATCTACCAATGCAAGTCTGGAATATGTGGCAAGTCTAGATTACTTCAGTTTCAGTTTCTGAAAATGATGAAAGTCTCTTGGTTCCTATATAATATATTTTATGTATATAATCAAGAAATTGTTCTGCAAAATATGCTCCTTTCAGAGACCAGACGTTTCATTACCGAGCGGCCTGAAAACCGCTCTGGGTGGGAAAGATACTTCCTGCTAGCATCATCTGTTAAGTCATCCAGAATTAGAGGGCATCTTAAATTCTCGTCACTTAGCATCGTGGCCGCCTCTACTCGGTCGTCCATACTTTGGGCCGTTCCAATGTGTTACTTTGGTACACACTATCCTGTAAAGGTACAGTACTAGATAATCCTTTACACGTTGTGATCCTAGGTGACAGCTCTCCTGACATCACACGTGACCCCAGTATTTCCGGTCACGTGGTCATACGCGGTGCTGTCAACTAACATCAGAAAGCGTACAGAAGACACAGCAGTTACCGATATTCCAGTCATATCCGAGCGGCTAGTCTGTCATACAGACCCTGAAACAAATATACCAATGCAAGTCTAGAATATGTGGCAAGTCTAGATTACTTCAGTTTCAGTTTTCTATTCATATTCTTTTGTGTATATAATTTAGGAACTGTATTTTCTGTAAAATATGTTCGGTTCAGAGACCAGACGGTCGCCCGGCCTGACGACAGTCTGAAGAACCACTATATGTCGGACCTCCAATGATCCACGCCATCAAGCATAATCAACAATGGTATTGACTATATATGCTGTAGGTGTAGGAGTGCGCATGTTTCAACTAGCGCCCTCTGTAGGCGCTGAGCCAGTCGTCCACTACTTGTGTATTGTAATCGTGCGGCCCTCTTCCTCCAGCTAACACAATCACGCCATCTTGGATAATGTACAGCCGCTCTGGGAGGGAAAAGGTACTTCTTGCAAGCATTATCTGTTAAGTCATCCAGAATTAGGGGACATCTTAAATCCTCGTCACTTAGCATCTCGGCCGCCTCTACTCGGTCGTCCATACTTTGGGCGGTTTCAATTTGGTACTTATTATTATTCAAATTCCATCCGTCGGTTGGGTGAGCCTCCTGTATGTATATAAGAAGAAAGTCAGCGATATGTCCATACTTTTGAACAATGTCGTTGAACTTGGCCAGTTTGGCCATAAAGGGGAGGTCAGCTACAGCTTCCAAAGTTGAGAACCAGAGGGCGCCCTTTCTTCATGAAGTCCAGCAGACGATGTTTGGTTTTGCCGTCTGCTGACCAGACAACTGCGTCGGGAGCTCTACACTTCTCTTCAGGATGGACGCCTGCATCCTGGAACCATTCTTCTAGAATCAGTTTCCAGTTTTTCACGTTGAGGTACGACTCGTACACGTCAGCTCCACTCACTGAGGAACCTGCTACGCCCTTGTCTAGGACCTTCGTAAACCATCGTTTGACCGGAGGACATATTCTTCCGATGTTAACGGTAGTGACTATCGCCACAAACCTGAACAGTACAGTCACGGTCCCCCAAATCGTCTTCAGTATCTGAGATGACATCTGGCCCTAAAAGAAGAAAAGCATTCAGAGGATAAAAGTGGAAAAAGATTTCGTTAGTTGGTCTTACGGAGGCACTATGTGATAGCGAGAGGTCGTCTGTATAACATTTGGGACATCTCAAGAACGAAGAGGATCAAGTGTATCTTGGAACCCCCTATCAACAGAGCCATTGAACAAGTGACGAAAGAAGCATGGAGTATATAACAGTGAAACGTTTGAATCAATGAAAATGTAGTCTCGTACGGTTGTCCAGAAATTTTCTTATACGTTCCCCTACACCACGGGAACATACACAGTTATTATTTAAAGTAGCACCAGACAAATCCCAGTGGCGTTTGGAGCAGAAAAGGTAATGGGAGATATAATGAGCAACGAGGCACGGTCGAACCAACAAAAACAAAAACAAAAACGAGACACGCCCCCTTCTCAATCAAGCCGCCCTTGCTTCACGCATTGGTGTTGAAGGATCAACTCGAAATTAGAATCCCAGCAGATACCTGGGTTACCAGAGGCCCTGCGCCTACACAGTGTAGCGGTTAAGAGTTGCTACGGCTGTGTTTTCTAACATTCGTTGCCTTCTCACCAGAGCGCAGTTTTGTTTTCGATTATTAAAACAGAATACTTACTCAAGTTAACCTCAGATGAAATACCTTTACAAATGGAGAGATAAGGAAATATGAGAACCTGTGATGCATTGCTGACTTTTTCTATAATCTGCAGCCAATAACAGGTGTAGATGTACGCTTACAAGTCCAAACTGATTTTTATCAAACAAGGTCTATAGCGAACACGCTTATGACTTACTGACGAATATAACGGGCTGTGTTTTGGCCCGTCCACTTGATGTATATTTTAGTCGAAATGCGTATAACGAACAGCATTTACAATGAACTAAAATTCGTGGTCCCTTATATTTACCTGTAGTTTACTGCATAGCCTGTCAGTGTAAGACTGAATGGAACAACGGACAAATCCTGGAGTTTACCCACCGCACTTCCCCGTGTAGTCGCCTGCACAGCGTCGAATAACTGTTTTCCGGAGTTCTGATTAGACTTTGTTCCCAATCGTTATATCATCATGACTCAGCTGTTATCAACAGACATTTTCATACAAAAAACTGTCTGTACAAGTATGGCCCTGGAATGTTTAATGTTGAATTTATTGGTGAATGTGAACATTCAAAATGCCATTTTGCGTGTCTTACACGATTCAAGGTCAATACCAAGTGTAACCTCCGTGTGACTGTATGACAGCCAGCACCCTCCTTCCCATACCCACTGCCAGCCTCCTGATCCTCTGAAGGGTCAGTCTATGCCATTCCTAGTGTAAAGCAGCTTCCAATTGGGCCAGGTTCTGTACAGGAGGATCCCTTTCTTGCACATGACGACCAATCATAGCTCAGATATGCTCCAAAGAGTTAAAATCGGGGCTCATTCTATCGTGAGATATGCCAGGGGTTTGCCAAAGTTCTTTGTGTATATATGATCACATAATTTGCATCCAGTTTCTACTACGACTACCAACGAGTTCGGTCCATACGTGCTCGACTATTACCTAACGGAGCAAAACATACCTGTCACCATTTAATCACTTCGAGTATATCTCAAAGTTCCTGTGCGGACTGTTTCGAGATCTCTGAAGCTTTCCTCGATAAGATGTAGAACGTAAGTGTCCATGTCTTGCGTATGTGCGACATGTTCTAACGTGGGACTTCATAGTATGTAAAAGCAAGAGACCAAAACAAGTACTGTCTTGTCACTACAGCTATATGTGTTGCTTCGTACAACTTAAAACAAGAGACCAAAACAAGTACTGCACTGTCACTAAAGCTATATATGTGTAGCTTCGTTACAACTTTGAAACAAGAGAACAAAACAAGTACTGCCTTGTCACTACCAGCTATATGTGTAGCTTCGTATAACTTTAAAACTTAAGACCAAAACATGTACTGCCTTATCACTACAGCTATATGTGTAGCTTCGTATGACTTTAAAACAAGAGACCAAAACAAGTACTGCCTTGTCACTAAAGCTATATGTGTAGCTTCGTATAACTTTAAAACAAGAGACCAAAACAAGTACTGCCTTGTCATTAAAGCTATATATGTGTAGCTTCGTTACAGCTTCAAAACAAGAGAACAAAACAAGTACTGCCTTGTCACTACCAGCTATATGTGTAGCTTCGTATTACTTTAAAACTTAAGACCAAAACATGTACTGCCTTCTCACTACAGCTATATGTGTAGCTTCGTATGACTTTAAAACAAGAGACCAAAACAAGTACTGCCTTGTCACTAAAGCTATATGTGTAGCTTCGTATAACTTTAAAACTAAAGACCAAAACAGGTACTGCCTTGTCACTACAGCTATATGTGTAGCTTCGTATAACTTTAAAACAAGAGACCAAAACAAGTACTGCCTTGTACCTACAGCTATATGTGTAGCTTCGTATAACTTTAAAACAAGAGACCAAAACAAGTACTGCCTTGTCACTAAAGCTATATGTGTAGCTTCGTATAACTTTAAAACAAGAGACCAAAACAAGTACTGCCTTGTCACTAAAGCTATATGTGTAGTTTCGTATAACTTTAAAACCAGAGACCAAAACAAGTACTGCCTTGTCGCTAAAGCTATATGTGTAGCTTCGTATAACTTTAAAACAAGAGACCAAAACAAGTACTGCCTTGTCACTAAAGCTATATGTGTAGCTTCGTATAACTTTAAAACAAGAGACCAAAACATGTACTGCCTTGTCACTAAAGCTTTATGTGTAGCTTCGTATAACTTTAAAACTAAAGACCAAAACAATTACTGCCTTGTCACTAAAGCTATATGTGTAGCTTCGTATAACTTTAAAACAAGAGACCAAAACAAGTACTGCCCTGTCACTAAAGCTATATTTGTAGCTTCGTATAACTTTAAAACAAGAGACCAAAACAAGTACTGCCTTGTCACTACAGCTATATGGGTAGCTTCGTATTGCTTTAAAACAAGAGACCAAAACAAGTACTGCCTTGTCACTGAAGCTATATGTGTAGCTTCGTATAACTTTAAAACAAGAGACCAAAACAAGTACTGCCTTGTCACTAACGCTATATGTGTAGCTTCGTATAACTTTAAAACTAAAGACCAAAACAAGTACTGCCTTGTCACTAAAGCTAAATGTGTAGCTTCGTATGACTTTAAAGCAAGAGACCAAAACATGTACTGCCTTGTCACTACAGTTATATGTGTAGCTTCATATAACTTTAAAACTAAAGACCAAAACAAGTACTGCCTTGTCACTACAGCTATATGTGTTGCTTCGTATAACTTTAAAACAAGAGACCAAAACATTTACTGCCTTGTCACTAAAGCTATATGTGTAGCTTCGTATAACTTTAAAACAAGAGACCAAAACAAGTACTGCCTTGTCACTAAAGCTATATGTGTAGCTTCGTATAACTTTAAAACAAGAGACCAAAACATTTACTGCCTTGTCACTAAAGCTATACGTGTAGCTTCGTACATCTTTAAAACTAAAGACCAAAACAAGTACTGCCTTGTCACTAAAGCTATATGTGTAGCTTCGTATAACTTTAAAACTAAAGACCAAAACAAGTACTGCCTTGTCACTACAGCTATATGTGTTGATTCGTATAACTTTAAAACAAGAGACCAAAACAAGTACTGCCTTGTACCTACAGCTATATGTGTAGCTTCGTATTACTTTAAAACAAGAGACCAAAACAAGTACTGCCTTGTCACTAAAGCTATATGTCTAGCTTCGTATTGCTTTAAAACAAGAGACCAAAACAAGTACTGCCTTGTCACTAAAGCTATATGTGTAGCTAAGTATAACTTTAAAACAAGAGACCTAAACATGTACTGCCTTGTCACTAAAGCTATATGTGTAGCTTCGTATAACTTTAAAACTAAAGAC